ATATATTCGAGACAATCTCTCCTGCACTTCTGGGTTGATACCAGTATCTGCCAGTTTTAAAAGAACTGAGAAAATAATCATGGAACTCATCATCAGTGGGTTTTAATTCTCTCATGGACTCAATTGAAAGAGACTTTTGGTACCTGACTGGCACAGCATTTCAGTTCATACTACTACCTGTAATTATTAGATTGTGTTTCTCCAATGAGAGTGAAAGTTATGTAGGTGCAGGCCAAGTGGCTGTTCTCCAGTGTCCAGTGCTTACCAGCACGGTGGTGACACGGTCAGCTCTCCATGAGCACTTGAAAGAGGAACATACCACTGATGCTCACAGTTGTGCTGCTTGTCAGGAAAGCTGAAAGCAAACATGACATTGGTAATCGTGTATGTAGGTTCAGGGAACACACGTGTTCCCCATTGTTCTTTACACCTCTCAGAGAACAAGAAAGGTTCATTTTAATTCAGACACACAAAGTAAAAACAAAAAACAACAAATGTTAAAATCATGGAGGAAGACTTCAAGAAAGTATTTTATACCATACCATGAAACAAAACTTGCCAATAAGCCAGCATATCCTTTCTCTGTGTTCTTGTCCATTTTTCAGAAAATGTTTGGGTAGACAGTACTGTGCTGAATTAAAATCAGGGGCCAGGGAGATAACTCAGTAGGCCCTGAGTTCAGTCCCTGGTACCATAAAAATAAAGTAAAATCAGGTGTATTCTAGAAATGACTATATTTTTATCTAATCAAATACTAAATATGAACAACTTGAATTCATTTTGTGATTTTTTAATGTTTAGTATTTTAGTAAAATATTCGTATGCATCTTTTTAAATTTTCTAATACTAGACCTCAAGTTAGACGTTGCTAGGGACATTCATAATGTCTCTAAAGTATGCACCACACTGGTAGCAGTATTGCTCGATTCATTTGTAGTTGTTCCAGGAAAAGAAATCTGTCTTGGGGGCTGGAGAGATGGCTCAGTGGTCTAAAGCACCTACTTAGAACAAGCTTAGCAAAAGCATCAGGGACCGCGGTTCAATCCCCCAGCACCACAT